CTAGTCAATTACAAGGAAGGTAGCCACAAAGGCATTGTTTGGGAAGCTAAACCTCGGGTTTTTTTATGGCTAAAATAGTCACAAAAAATAAAATAAGTTTTTTAGTTATAAAAAATAAAATATCGCATTGAACACATAATTATTACATTCTTTTTTCATAAAAAAGTCAAAAATCTTTTCCAAACAAAATTTTTTAACTCTAAATTAAAATTGTCAAAAAAAATCAAAAAACTAAAAACCAATCTACTTCCGAAACGAATCTTAAAACAAGTTTGGGCTATCCAATGCGCAACCCCATTGGCACTCCTAGCGCACCAAAAAACACACACAGATTACATTATTTACCAACGAACCTAATGTCTAATATAACAGTGCGGAACTCCAAAAAGGAGCATCGTCAAGCACGCAAAGGTAGAATGCTCTCTCATTCAAACGAATGACATACCACTCACCGGCCCTACTAATGGTATAGGGATAAGATTCCAATATATATATACGCGGCTGGTTTATCTTCGGTCTCGGATCAGAATAGAGAATATTATTAAATTTATAGAATTTTATTATAAATTTTATTTTGATAATTTGAACGGTTAAATATATAAAACTCGTCGAGTACTGTATATATTTGTAAAAAATCATATTGATCGGGTATCAATACTTATTTTATTGGATCAAATTTCTGTCAATTTTTTTTTTTTTTTTGTACAAAACTAATTTGATCACGTAACTATCGATATCCGATCAACGTGATTTTTATAAGCATATAATACTCAACGAGTTTTACACATTGTATAATTTAAATTATCAAAACAAGACTTATAATAAATTCCCACAGACCCATTAATACCCTCCAATTCCATTAGAGATTATAAGGGAGCCCTACTCCATATTTAAATAATATAGAAGTCCAAGTTGGTCATCTAATCCTCCCTATTGGACTAGAAATTATTATTTTTTAGTTCATGAAAAAAAAAAAAAAAAAAAAAAAGGGTGAACCCACACTCCTTATGCACTCTACATATCAGAATGGGTCAGGTTACGCGGGAAAGAAACGGGTCATGATTTGGGTCCTAAAAAATAGTGTAAATTAGTACGAATTATTCAATGTGTTTGGTTTTAATTTTTAAAATTTAATTTTTTAAAAATTAAATTTTTTATTTTTCATATTTTTTTGTTTTTAGTGAATATTTTTAAAATTTTAAGTAATTTTTTTACTTTTTTAAATGCACTTTACTTAGATGTATCTAAATAGTAAAATATTTATGAAAAAATATTTTAAAAAATTAATAAATATACAAAAATACGAAAACATACTAAATTTTCATATTTTTTTTGTATTTTTTGGTATTTAGTACATTTTTTAAAAAAAAATTCACAAATATTATACTTTTTAAGTGTGTTTATGTTAAGTTTGTCTAAAAATTAAAAAAAATTACTTAAAATATTAAAAAAAATCATTGAAAACATTAAAATACGAAAAACAAAAATTAAAATTAAAATTTTCTAAAAACTGTTTTCTAAAAACTGGAACTAAACAAATTGATTATTATTATTATTTTTAAAATTTTGAAAATTATATTTCATTTTCGAGATTTTTAATTTCATATTAATCGTTCCTTTTATTAATAAATTATGAAATCAATTAACAGTTTTTAATGATGTTAAAAATATATTTCAATTCATAATTTAGATAATTTTATTATTGTATAGAAAAATAATTATAAATTTTATTTTTTTAATTAATTTTGTTAAATAAAAAATTCTGATAAAAAATATTTGTAATTTTTTAAATTAAAAAAGACAATCTATACTTTAAATAAACATCAAAAAACGTATTCATAACTTATCTTTAAAAAAATATATATTTTTTAGAGCTCTAAAATAGGGATGGCAATTTGAAACCGAACCGACTTGGATCCGCGACCCCAACCCCGGTTTAAGCAATTTTTCCCCGAAAAATACCCCCGACGAGGATTGGACTGTATTTGAAAATCAATTCCCGATCTGTTTCGGGCCGGGGACGGTGATCAGTGTTCAAGCCCCGGCCCCGCCCCGTCCCCGAATTTCCCCAAAATTAAATTACTTTTATACCCCTTATATATATATAATAAATCAAACCCTAAACCCGTGCCTGCGTCACTCTCTCACTCTCACTCTCGTCCTTCTCTCTCTCTCTCTCTCTCTCTCAACTCTCGTCCTTCTCTCTCTTTCTCAACTTTCACAGCAGGCGTCTCTCATTCTTCTATGTCTCTCACAGCACAGCCACCGTCGATCTCACCCTCAACTCTCACTCTCACCGACACTCCTCCCTCACCGCTGTTGTGCTCCCTCACCGCCGATCGTCCCACTCATATATATATATATATATATATATGTATGTATGTATGTTTATGTATATATAGATTCATATATACAGGTTTAGATTTTTTAATTTTTTTTTAAGTTGATGATGATTGATGATGATAGACTGGCAGTGAGGGGTTGGGTGTATATATAGATTCATATATGTTTATATTTATGTATATATATATATTTTTTTTAAGTTGATGATTGAAATTCATATATATATATATGTTTATGTATATACAGATTGTTGTTTTTGTGTTTAAAAAAAAAAATGAACAGGTTGGGGATTTTCGGGGTTGGGGAAACCGGAACTCCGATCGAGGACGGGGGATGGGGGGGCCGATAGGGTCACCGTCGGGGATCGGAGCCAGGGACGGAAAATTTTTCACTATCGGAGATTGAGGACGGGGAAGGTGGTCCCCGGCCCCACCCTGCCCCGTTGCCATTCCTACTCTAAAACAGCTCTAATAAGTTAGATCCCACTATAATATGATATATGTGCTAACTTTTTCGTTTTACTTTTATTTTTAGTTTTTTCCACTGCCACTTCAATAAAACTCATTTTAGAATTCTACTTTTCTGTCTATTATTGCTTACTCATTTTAGAATTCTACTTTTCTGTCTATTATTGCTTACTAAAAAACAAGAACTTATATAGTGGGGCCGAATAAAAAGGGACCCTCCCACCAATCATATGTGGATAGTGTGTCGACATCTCAATAAAGCACCCCACCTTTAAATATCCCATAAAACTATTTAGTTATGCTCGTAAATACATATTTTAAGATTAAAAATTTTATAAACAATAATAAAAAAATTACATATTGTAACAAATAAAACTCAAATTAGAAAAAACAAAAACCAAATAAGATGCGTATAGAAATCTAAAAAATTGTCTACGTTTTATTTATTTTGACAAAAAATATTTTCTTACCTAAAGTATTTTAAAGGACTAAAATATTATAAGGGAGTGATAGAACAACCGATAATGATGAAACAGAAAAAGTATATAATTTACATAACAGTAGTGATAAGAATTTTTATTTTTTAAAAAATTATTTTTCGATCGAATAAACATATTTTACACTTGACAACAAAATATGTTTTTGTTTATATGAGGAAAAAATTTGAAAATATTTTTAAAAAAATAAATAATAAAAAAAATTGTATGAACCAAGTAGTTTATAGTGTAATTCATCCCATATTTTATTTTATTTTTTTTTAAATTCTTTAATTTACTTGAATACTTTCTATAAAACTGATATTATAATAAGTGCCTAAGACACAAGTAAAATATAAAAAATATGAATAACACATGACACTTTTTTATTAAATTCAATATACTTCTGTTAAATTAATATATTTTTTAATAATTTTATATATTTTGAAAGAAAAATTATTGGATACTCTATTCCATTTACAAATTAACACTTAATACCTTGTCTTAAAATTCTAACACAAAAATACTGATATCTAAATCAATAACTATTAATTTAAGAGTAATGTTAGAGACTCAAAAATTCTATCAAAATTTTTATCAAAGGTTTCAAATGAATGTAAAACCCACACAATATGAGTCTCATATAATCCCACACCTATATAAGACATTTAGGTCATGTTTGATTCACAAGACTAATACTTCTTATTAAATTAGTGTGGTATTCATTATCTAATTGGATTAATATCTATTGGATTAGTAATCCCACCCCTATCCCATTACTAATAATCCTACAAATTTATTAGATTAATTATCCATTGAATTAATAATCATAAACCAAAATGTTAAAACAAACATAGGATAATTGGACCCACGGATTAATAATCCCAATTCAATACTCTAATCCACCCAATCAAACATGCCATTAATATCTAACTTTTTTTTTTGGGAGGGGGTTAATTTAAGGGTATGGCTTCTGTCCAGTTTGGGGTCGGACTGGACCGTACTGTTGGGCCCGTGGGGGCCCACCATGGGTCCCGTTTTGATAATCCGAACCGTTCAATGTGTAGAACTCGTCGAGTACTATATGCTTGTAAAAAATCACGTTGATCGGATATTGATAGCTATATGATCAAAACGGTTTTTTGTCAACCATTAATTTGTTCACCGTCTAATTTTTTTAATACGAAACTGATTTGATCATATAGCTATCAATATCCGATCAACGTGATTTTTACCGACATGTAGTACTCGACGAGTTCTACACATTGAACGGTTCAGATTATCAAAACGGGACCCATGATGGATCCCCACAAACTCAACAGTACGATCTAATCCGATCTCAAACTGGACAGAAGCCATACCCTTAATTTAAAGCCCCACCCAAACTTGCTCCAAAAACGTTAAATAATTTCAACACTTTATACACATTTCTCAATCCTAAACTATATGCATAAACAACCCTTGGTATCATTTGGCTAGTATATATATATATATATATATATTGTAGTGTTTTGAAAAGTTAATAAAAAATTAATTTTTTGATTTTTTAATTTTTTTTTGTGACTTTTTTGAACTTTTTAATTTTTTTTAGTAATTTTTTTTGACAAAAAAAAATTTCTTTAAAAAAAAAAAAAAAAAAAAAAATCAAAAAACCGACTTTTTACCAATCTTCCTAAAGTGCCCCATATATATGTATGTACTCGGTTGGCCCCGTCAACGTATATCTATGGCTGGCCCAAAAATGTTTCCGCGTTAGCGAACCCCGCAGAGAGAGAGAGAGAGAGAGGAAGGAGACTCTCGTGAGAAAAGCAAAGCTGTCGTTATTTGAATTTGTCCAAATTCCCCAAATTCAGGTCAGATCTATGTCTGAACGCACTCTTCCGCGCGCGCGCGTATATATATATCTATGAACATCTCATACTCGTTCATTGTTACGTTGTTGTTGTTGTAGATTTTGTGTTAATAGAATCAGATCAGAAGCGATCGTTCTAGGTTTACAATGGCTTCCAAGCGGATCTTGAAGGAGCTCAAGGATCTCCAGAAGGATCCTCCCACCTCTTGCAGCGCTGGTAATTTCTTTGATTTGATTCCTTGTTCGTGTGTGTGCCCTTTCACCCTCGATCTCAGATTGTGCTTATAAATTGTACATGTGCTTCAATATAAACCTATCTATCTATACACATTTGTATCTGTATATTGTTTGTCTTTTGGGATTTTGGTTTTTTGTTCAATAATTTAATTATTTCGTGATTCAAGTGTGAGGTGAAATTCAAATTAGTACATAATGAGTTTGTATTATTATCATCATACAGTAATTGTTATTTTTATTCTAATTCTGGTTAACAAATTATTTGGTGGAACGATATACAAACCGACGACGCCCTTGAAAACCCCCTTACAAGGGGATAGGCTCGTCACCTGGTCCTGCTCGACTTTTACCTACCCTACCCTGAATGAGGATTGGATTTGGATTGGGCTTGGCTTGGGGTTTTAAACTTGGTCCGCCCATTGGCTTGTCCGAGCAACCCGTTGTCCCGGCTCATGGGCCGACAAAAATATGAAAAACAAAACATGAAAAAGCTTGAAAATATAGGGCTTAACTTCGGTTCGTTGGGCTAAGCTTGCCAGCCCCACCTGTTGGTCCATGAGAGGTGGTCTATTGGCTTGCCAGGTTGCCCGTCTAGGCCAAGCCTGTTGGGTATTGCTCGACCCTAAGCTTGCCCTGGCAAAAAAAGCCCACTAGGCTTAGCTCGCGAGTTTGGGCACCATTTTTGTGGCCCGTCCTGATGCCAATCCTCAAGGGTACCCAAGAGCCTTTATATTGACAAGGCCATGCCTTTTGATACCAAATGATACAAGTCACTTGGGTAGAACTCACAATTGAAAACCCACTGCCCAAGAGGCTTATATTTACAGGGCGGAACCTTTTTGTTCCGATGTGGTATTTTAATATGGAACTATGCATGTATATATATAATATTTGTGTTGCCCTTTTTGTATATATAATATAATGTTTGTGTGTACCTATGATGTATAACATTTATGACTTTAAAAAAGTCTTACTTCCTATACCATATGAACAAATAAGAAGCAGCATTTTGGGTGAAAAGAAACTGGATGAGAAGAGTCATTTGTAATTGGTAAATAAAATTGGAAAGATGTCTTTGTAGCTTAGTGATAAGGTTCTAGCGGAATTGTGTTAAACAATTCAAATGGCCTAGGTATTTGTTTGGTGAGAGAGTCAAGGTAGTCTCTCGTGAAGTTGTTATAGAGTGGCAATAGAGAGAGAATCTGCCAAGTAAATTGCCTCTCTGTAGCAAAAATTTGCAACAGGCTGATAAAAGCTGAGAAAAGAGCCCCATGCAGTCAGGGAGCAAATTTTGGTGTTGTCCACTGGAAATGGTCCTGTTGGAAAAGCATTAACCAAAGTCGACAATCAGTTTCATTAATAATCAAGGGGGATTTTTAAGCTCTTCTCAAGGAGCATTCCTTTCACCACATTGCACACTGTGATGCTGAAATTTTCGTTTTAATTTTCAGGTTTAGCTGCTGTAAAATAGCCACAAATGGCCTGCTATTTGATCTGCCATTGTCAAAATTTGATAAGAGAAAAAAAAAATTTCTCTCTACACGAGCTTTCTCGCTCTCTCATGATGGGGCTTACAAATTTCATTTTTATTGGATATTTTGTGAGGAAAATAGAAGAAATGACAATTGCACCGTTAGAGTAGGATTGCCAAATTATAACATTTTGGTACTGTGGCATGCCAAAATATGGTACTCTAGCATGCTAAAATGGCAAACACCTATGAATTCTGTCACACACTGTGTTAGTGTCTTTGTTTTTTCGTTGATGCATGTGATCATCCTTCTTTCCCCTTCCATATCTCCTCTTGTGCATCTTTTGGAAATGAATGCATTTAGCATGCTTGCATGGGCCTGTCACAATTGTTTGATGCATTTGCTTGTACACCAGTGTAGCAACCAGAAAAAAGAGGATACATTTTAGTGACGCACACAGACATAACTTACAAGTATGTGTGTGTGTGCAGAGTTATGCTTTCCTCATAGTTATCATGTTGCAACTTCATACGTCATGGCATTTTCATGTATCTTTATTGTACATTATTTTGTTTTATCAATTTGTTGATTAAGATCTTATATTTGGATTCTGTATATTGATAGGCCCTGTTGCCGAGGACATGTTTCATTGGCAAGCAACAATAATGGGTCCAGCTGATAGTCCTTATGCAGGCGGAGTTTTTCTTGTTACTATTCATTTCCCTCCTGATTACCCATTTAAACCCCCTAAGGTATGGTAAAAATTCTAATTTCAAATTCTTTTATATTGTAGTCATTGGTGTGCTTTATAGCAGTCCCATGTTGTGTCATACTTTCTGAAAGTCTCCTCGATCAAATTCATTATTTCTTGGCCTTTTGGGAATATTAAGCTAAGTAATTATTTTTATTTTTAAATGGATCTTTTCATTACAGTGTGTAGGCCTATGAACTGATGATAGATCTGTACTTGGTTAAGAAATTCTAATTAGCATCATAGTTGTCAAATCGAGATTTGTATCGTGAATCGAAATAACCTTGTATCGAATTGCGAATCGAATCGTGAATCGTAAAGATTCGATCACTTTTTTAAAATATATACTTTGGGATGGCTCCTTTGAATATCCAACAATGTGAATTTTTATCCTTTTTGAGTTCAAGAACTATTTAAATAACCATTATCAAGGGAATCAACATTTAATCTATTTTATTATTTCAACACTCATACTTAGGCCAAGTTTGGCAAGTCCATAAAAAGCAACTTGACGAGTTCTACACATTGAACGGTTCCGATTAGAAAAACGGGACCTGTGGTGGGCCCCCACGGGCCAAACAATACCGTCTAATCAAAGCCCGAAAAGGATGCAATCTTTTCCCATGTATTCACCAAGCCGACTAACTGCCAATCCGTACGGCGTACTACACAATCTTCTCCTACACACTAATTTATACAATTTTTTAATGCACATTTTTTCATAAAATGTCAAAAAGTTAACCCAAACATCCATATTTTTTTCCTCAATTTTTTAGTCCAAAAAGACAAAAAGTGCACTTATTTAGGATACCCCAAACAACCCCTTAAGTCTCACCAGTTCTTTTGGCGTGGGAGCAGTTTTGCTCTAATATCGTTACATTGATGCCACTCTGCCATGGGAGAGAGTAATATAATATCTAATTGCAGGTAACACGAGGATGTGAAATAGCTATACAAGAGAAAAAATTAAACAAAATAAAATACTATACAAAAGAAGTAACACAACGAGGCTTGGGATTCGCATATCATGCATGTTGCCCCTCTAGTTTATATAAACATTTTCTTAACTTTAATTTCTTTTCACCTTGTTCTGCTTTTTCTACGAATCATTTTGCAGGTTGCTTTCAGGACAAAGGTTTTTCACCCGAATATAAACAGCAATGGTAGCATTTGCCTTGATATCTTGAAGGAGCAGTGGAGCCCTGCTCTGACCATTTCTAAGGTGCTAGTTTTATAATCTTTCGGCTTTATTACAATCTGCTATATAATGGTTTTCAGTTCTTGAGGAATCCAAAAATATGCCATGGTCAAGAATATGGTGAAGTTTGGTTTGCCACAGGGAATTGTTTGTAGAGACTGGGTATGAATGTTGTGCTTGCCTATCATCTATATGGGGAAAAAAAATAATCATCCCTTGTATATCAGTTTCATTGAGTATCGGAATCGCTCAGTAAGCAATGTAACATCTAATCAGATTTGTTGTCCATCTAGTTGGCTTCCCTGACATAGCCTTTTTTTTTTTTTGTTTTTTTTTTTTCTTGTGGCCCCTACTCATCTGATTATCCACCCCTACCAATCATCCTTGCAAACTCTGTTGATTGCTTTTCTTCCTTAGACTGTATTCCATCGATGCTGCTTTTTAAGCCGGTGGGAAATATATTTATGTGTCTGTTTATGTTTTCAGGTTTTGCTGTCGATTTGTTCATTGTTGACAGATCCGAACCCTGATGATCCCTTGGTGCCAGAGATTGCTCACATGTATAAGACAGACCGGGCAAAGTATGAGGCAACTGCAAGGAGCTGGACTCAGAAGTATGCCATGGGCTAGTGTGCTTTCATTTCTAGGGCTTTTTTTCTAGGAGTTTGGTATGTCATAATGTAGAAATGAAGTTTGCCTTTTGTCCTTTCTACCCCTGTAATGGACAAAAACGTAGAATAGAACTGAGTTGCATCCTCAAGAAAAAAGAGAGCAAACAGAGTCCTTCAAGATTGTTTGTATGGAAAATTTGATCTGTGAAACTATTCAAAAAAAAGTGTTTATTTTATCTTGTTGAATATACAACTGTTTAATTTGGGGATGTTTATTTTAACTCAATAGATTTTGGCTATATTAGTATTTGAAAATTATTTGAATTTGAGACATTAATAAAATTCAATTATAAAATAAATTTGGGCCTTTGAATTCGATCTTTTAACAAAAAATTTAATTTAAGCCTTGGAAAGAGGCAAATGAATACTCTCTCTCTCCCTTTCTCTTTTATTATTTTTTTAATTTAAAATTAATATTTAATAATGGGTGGGCTTGGCTGGGTTGGGCTTCAACTCCGAATCCCAAGCCTAGTTGAAAACGAATCAGACTCAAAATTTCAGCCCAACCTAATCCTATGGACTAATTTTTTATTCGAAACCCTTTAAATATCAGGCAGGGTGGGCCACTAGGCCCATGGCCACCCCAAGTTGAAAGGACTGACTAGATAAGGCCCTGTTTGGTAACTTAAGTAATTTCATTTTTTTTTTCATATATTTTTGAAAACTGAAATTGAAAGAAAAAATTTGTTTCAAATGTTTGCATTGCCAAAAAAAAGACAAATACGGTGATAGAAAAATGTAGAAAAAAAAACGAGAGAGGAAGGGAAGCAAAAAGCAGAGAGAGAGAGGAAAGGACTTTTGGGTGTAGTGAAAAAGTTATGGGATTAAATGGAGATCACATGTTTCCCATGGGACCTATGGGTAATTTTCCCTTATTTTTTTAATTTAAAATTAATATTTAATAATGGGTGGGCTTGGCTGGGTTGGGCTACAACTCTTAATCCCAAGCCTAGTTGAAAACGAATCTGACTCAAAATTTCAGCCCAACTCAATCCTATGGACTAATTTTTTTTCCAAACCATTGAAATATCAGGCAGGGTGGGCCACTAGGCTCATGGCCACCCCAAGTTGAAAGGACTGACTAGATAAGGCCCTGTTTGGTAACTTAAGTAATTTCATTTTTTTTTTTCATATATTTTTGAAAACTGAAATTGAAAGAAAAAAGTTGTTTTAAATGTTTGCATTGCCAAAAAAAAGACATTTTTCAATTTTTTGTTAAAATTATAGAAAACAAAATATATGTTTTTTTAATTTAGTATTCATTCTCTCATTCATCTTCCACCTCTGGTAACCCAAAAAAGCTACTGTCTCAAATTTAAGAGCACAAAATTTTCTAGGTGAGGTGTTCGTATGGTGGAAATTGAATTGATATAGTGTGAGTTTTAAGTATGAAATGAATCTATACTATAGATTGATATTTCAAGATAAATTTGAGACAATTTTCTAAAATTGTAGTATTACCGTTAGCAACCCTCTTTCGGCCACTCCCTCAAGCAGCTTCCTTCGTGTGACCTTTTTTGGTAACTCACCAAAAAAATATATTTATTAATTTTGAATAGATGTATGTACTAAAAACATTATTTGTTTTTCATTCAAAAATAAAATATTCTTATTAATTTCTTTAAATAGAAAATTAACAACGTAATCAAATGCTACCTAGAATATTTAAAAATAAATTAAATGAATTAGATCATTAAAATATAATCTGTGGTGGAGACAAGACGCGTCTTTGCACAAAACCGGATTGCACTTTAGTTAGAGAAGTTGAATCTTTTTTCTTTTATTTTATTTTTCTATAAAGAGTTGCTAAAAAATGAAGATTGTTGAGTCATTCTAGTCAACTCCTAAATTCAAGTGCACTATACATATAACTGTGCCTTGGGGTTAGAAGCTTGTGCAGCTTGATCCCAGGCCAGCAAAGAGTTCTGTGAATCCATAAAAATATTTGATTACAGAATTAGATACAATTTTTTTTTTTTTATATATAAAATGAGATTCATTGAATAAAAGTAGAATCCACCATAGAAAATTTTATTATAAAACCCAAAATGCAACATTCTAATATAAGATGGAAACCATCAAATATGTGGAGTTTAAATTAACTTTAATTCTGTAATTAAATTTTGTAGAAAAACTGGGGTACATATGGTATGATTGTTTCGGTTTTTCCCACAAAAACTAAAACAATTGAAGCTGTGGGGATTAATGTAGGTGATCATTATAATAATGATGTCATGGGACATTGTGACCACCCCTACTGTCTTTCATGTCTCTACCAACTTTGTATTTGGACTATTTCATGGAGCACCAATTCTTCTTCTTCGTTACTTACTAATCTAATCACGTTTTGTTTGAGCAATTTATATACTTTTGTTGTATTGCCGCTACTAAAAAAAAAGAGGGTGTTCGAGTTGACAGCGTGCTGTTGCAAATAGCATATTTACTGACACAAAAAGTTTTTGTGACAGAGCTGCAACAGCAACTTGAGGAATGTAAATGGTCGGGTTTCAAATGTTTTTAAGTTGGCAAGTTGCCGACGCAAAAGGTGGTTAAATATTTTAAAAAATCTAACCCATGATTTCTTCGTCGAGGCTCTCAAGATTTGAACCCACTTCATCTCGGTACTTTGAACCCACATACCACACTTAGCCCACTGCACTACAATACCTTCTTCTAATTTTAAATGAGATATATATTATTTATAGTATATACACTCAATATTAATATAAAAGTATATGTATAAACAAATATATTTATTAAATATAATAAAGTAAATATATATAGAGAGAGAGATATCCTAAGTATAAAAATATTTTTGTTGTCACGGCATCAGTTGCCGACACAAAAAGGTTTAGCTTTTTGCGTCGGCACGGGTTTGCCGACGCAAAAGGTTTATCTTTTGCGTCAGTAAATTCAACCGACTCAAGTAATATTATAAAATATTTTTTTTTTGTGTCTGCCAACGGTACTGACGCTAAAGTTTGGTATTTACGTCGGTAACTCCGTGCTGTCGCAAAAAGACCAACTTTTGCGACGGAAAAATCTGTTGACTCAAAAAAACTAATTCAAAAGGCCCTTTAATTAGTAGTGTGCTCTTAGTTTCCTAAATGATAGCATATCACTTGCAATCCTAAATTAAACAAAAACCCTCGTATTTCAAATTAAAAGTTTGGGTGCGAGGTAGTTAGATTTAAGTTTTTGATACTAATGATCTCTTTTTGTTTATGTTTAGTTATATTTTTTGAAACGAATGTATTAATGATTGAATAGTGATGGTGATACCGGTGGCAAATTTGAGATGGTGGTGGAGATAGTGGTGGGTGGTGACAACTGTGGTGTTGGTGGTGGTAGAGTGGAGGTAGCGGTGATGATGGTGGCATAGTATGGTGGCATTTGTAATCGTTTAGTTCGAAAAATACTTTTTACCATAATGTTTTCCACCCAAAAAAATGTACTTTCTACTTTCGTTTTCTATTTTATGATTTCCACCAAAAAATACTTTTGCCACAAACGAATAGATCGTAAATCATTGTAAATTTTGTAAAAACTTTATCAATTTGGTAATTATTTCTTATTATTTTCACGAAAAATATTCCACATATTTCATTCTATGAAATTATTAACATTAATGGTGACGATAATAGAGTGATAGTATTGTGAGTGGTGGCAATAGCAGAAGTGATTGTGGCAATAATAATGACAATTGTACTCGAGTTACATAAGAATTTGATTTGTTTCATTAAATGGGCTCATTTTCCATTTCCATTAATCATCAAAAATGTATTTCATTCTTATTTTATATATAAATGTCAAAAAAATACAAAAATATCCGACACCCCACCCCTCCCTTCCAAAAAAAAAAAAAATCCATTTTAAAATTTTGTTAGGCTGTTTGGTCTATATGTTAAGTGAAAACAATTCTTCTAGCATGACAATGCAAGTATTCTTCCAAGTATGAGTAACCATTAAGTATGAACAAACATGCAAATACAAGCTTATTAATACTCAAGTTTTGTAACAATCAAAGCAATTAATGTGGTACTAAAGTTTCTTTATTTGGGATTTTGACCAAATGAACCGTCCTCTCTCACTAGACTCCAAACTGTTTTTATTTATTTATTTATTTATTTATTATATATATATATATATAATATTGCTAATCTCATTCATGAACTGGGTTATTAGTTTTCCAAGATTGACCTCGTTTTGATAAATTATACCGAACCAATATGTACTACTACTACCACTACTTCTAAATCCAACATTAATTTCAAAAAAAAAAGATACATGCATTTTGATGGACCGTGTTTTTTTTTTTATAACTTATCCGCTAATTATGAAAGAATGTAAAGATACATGCATTTTTACATTTTGATGGACCGTGTTTTTTTTTTATAACTTATCTGCTAATTATGAAAAAATATATAAAAAAAATAAAAAAGTGATATGATTCAAATAAATTAATAATAAATTGATTCAATTGCTGCTGCCCCCTTGTGGGAGGTCTTTCCAAGTGTTTTTCAATTATCTGAACTATTCATATTGTAGGGTTCGTTCATAATATTATCTAAATAAAAAATCTAGTTAATCAGGTTCTAATTGTTTTTTAAAATTTATGAAAGTTATATTAATCGTTAACTTTTATAGAAACAAATGTGTTTTTGGTTATAGGGACTACAATATCCAATCAACTTGATTTTTTGTATGGATGATTTACTTGACGAACCCTACAATATGAACGGTTCAGATTATCGAAAAACACTCGGGACAATCTCCCACAAAAGGCACAACAGTACCCCTTCTCTTCCAAAAGAGGTGCGTCGTATCCTTATTTAGTGGTTTCAAAGTACAAACTCAATATGTTATTATAATGCTCTCAAAAACTAATAAGAACCCTTAATCGTGACATACATGAGTCAACTTGACCTACCTTAATCGGCTATATGTTTCCTTTTGTGCATGCTATTTTGTCACAAGCACCACACATGTTCATATAGTGGTGGCGTTCCATTCGAACATCACCACACATGTATATATTGGTGGTGGTGCTCCATTCAGTAATTATTATTACAAATTATGTTGTGATAAATACAATTAGAAGAAGCATTAGCAAGCCAAGTATTGTTATTTTAATTTTTTTATTTTTGGTATGGCAAAAACTGTAACGTAAAGATGATGTATTCAAATTTTTTACTTCTTCTGAGATGAG